GCTAAAGTTTCGTCAGAACGAAGTTACGGAAAGTTAATTAACAAACGGAGACGTAACAATATACAAAACTACACTATATCTAGAAGGATCATGAGATTTAAGGAAAAGACGTGAAAGTTCGAGAATGACGTGGCGTGATACTAGTCACGTGGCCTCGATGTCGTAACAATATGAAAAAAATATATTTGTATCCCTTAACTCTTGACAAGTGTTCTTAACAATGAGTTTAAAAGTTCCTAATAAAGTCATTTAAAGCTTCTCCAAGTGTTAATTTCCATCCTCTTGAACTCTTTATGGATCACTTGAGTATCACATATTTTTTCTCTTCTTTTCTTTCTCATGGTTTAAAATATTTAACCAAATTGAACTAAAACTTTGTACAAACTTTCTAAATAATATCTATTTTGTGCTTCAAAAAGTCATAAAATTTAGTTGAGTATATGTTTCATTTGTAAGTTGTTTTTTTGTGAAACTATTTTGGTAATAAAGACAAGTCCTTTCATCTTAGACTTTCTGGGTTTTTTTGTTGTTGATTAAAAAGTTCTATTTTATATATCCAATCAGTTTAATGTGTTTGATATTTATGAATATTATTTAATTTCCCTGTTGCATATTGATATATAAAAGACATTTTAATACTAGAAATAAACGACGTTGTGTTTTATTGGAACACTCCTGAAGAAACTATAAAGTGAAACGTTATGTATCCAATTAAAGAAAAATAACAAAATTTATGTTATAAGGTCATTTATTTCTAGTATTTATTAATATTGTTGTAATGTTGTTCTTTCATTAGATGTTTGTTTTAATTATTTGGTAAAAATAAGCCAACTCCAGTCCAATTACCAATAATAAATTACTTTATTTCTTCCTTAATGTTTCTATAAGTTACCTTCACTTGTACAGTATTGTAACTTATAGGCCTAATTGTACAAATGACGTCGAAATAGAAATACTATACTAATAGTACTATGGCTAACATAAAAAAAAAACTTAGTTATACAATTTCACGGTTGATCGATGAAATAATGGCATATATGCAGTAACTAATGCTACTCCAAATACTTCTCCAAAAGTAACTCTTCCTTCAATGACTGGCACTATGCCAACCGAAAACAAAAATTGACTCAATGCTTCACTGATTTTTGTGTTTATATGTTTCTCTCTTCGCTCCTCAAATTTACTAGATTCTTGACATCAAATTTAGAACATTCTAGGTATTCTAGGCCTACTTTTATAAATTTTTAAATCTTAATGTCATGTGTCCTCAAGTTAAGTTCTAAATTAAAGCATTGAAAATATAGCTTACAACAATATATTCCTTCTGATACATTATTTTACCAATTGAAGTAGGCAACTTCCCACTATAAATCACATAAACGTAGTATGGTTAATGAAGATTTGCAAGTGAACTTTGATTTCGCTTTTCAAAATGATGTTACTGTTACCTATGTCATGCTCCATAATATGATATTTTGTGAACAGTATTTTTGATTAAGATCAGCTTATATCTAATATTTATAGTTTTTTTTTCAATAACTAAGAAGTTCTTATGTTTTGAGTAGTTTGTCATTTCCCTTTTCTCATTATCAGTCAGGAGCTCAAATTTGTTGGAAACATTTGCTTATGCTCAACACACAGCTTAGTAAACACAGTATTTAATTCCTCTTCCACATCAATAGCAATCTTGACTAAGGTCTTTTATTTATTTTCTTGTTTGTGTGTGTTAGTGCATTTATCCTAAACCAATGTTTCTCAACTAGGTTGCTGAGAGATTTTAGCAAAATGTTTTTATCTCTATGACCCACCCTTGGCTACTCCACTGTTAACTAGGCCATAAAATGTTAGGGGTGCCATTGAAATTATAAACTATGTTTAGGGATGTCTTGAGAAAAAATGGTTAAGAAACACTGATCTAAATAGTTTAACTATATATGTAACATAATTTATTATTTTTACATAACAATGACTTACATGGAAGAAAATATTCTGTATGCAGTGTTGGACATTTAGTCCCATAACCTTCTTACAATTACAAAAACTCTGTCCTTAAATCACAAATTTACTCATCAATTTACTCATTGTTATTTGCCTGTATTACTTTTTGAAAGCATGTCTTAAATGTAAATATGTAAAAAAATGAAACTATTAAAAACTATCACATTATTTATACAGTTAATAAAACTTTGTAATCAAAAGAAAATTACTGCATTTGTGACAAGGAATATTTACGTCATCATAACACATACAATGGTGCAGCTGTATACATTATACTACACCTGAATTATCTTGCATCATCCAGTACAGTCTCATTTCTAAATAGCATATTTACTAATTTCATTTGAATTTAATGTTACCTTCTTTTATTTCTAATATGATCCATTAACCCTATGACTGCTGGGTCCTACAATGCCGCCAAGTGTTGGTTGAGGTCGAATTCTCATTTGTAGTCTGTCACACCCTAGCCACTCAACACCTGAAGATCCCTTTCCTGCTGAAAATTTTTTTTGGCCCCTTCATGTTTCCACCCTTTAGGTTTTGGTGATGCATTCCTGAAGGTCACAGAACATACCAGGCTCATAAGTGATGCAGTACCTCACTGGTAAGATGTTTTTCATTACATACCACACCTCGTGGTCTTTTTATCAAGGAGGATCTTATTCTTAATGTCTCTACACCAGTCAGTGTGGGATTCTAATTTTTGTGAGAGAAGGTAAGATATCATATCAGAAGTTGACATTTTCCAAAACTAAAAATGTATTTCCAATAGATACTTACCTTTCTCACATTTCCCACCCATCCTCCCAACTTCTGGTATAATTTGGTTCAATTAGTTATGACCTATCTTGAAGTGATTAACAAGTGCATGATTAGAGAGGGTGCTAATTACGACAGGGGTAGTGTCGCACTTCTATTGGTAGAGGGTTACTGCATGATCATTTACATATTGATATCCGGAAAGAAGTGGGAGTTGCAAGGCTAGTGGCAAGCGAAACATTTGTGCCAATAGAGGGCAGTACTAGGTAAGTATCTATTGGAAATAACATATTCAGGTTAGGAAAATGTTAACTTTCATTTTACAGTGGCTAACATTCCAAGAAGGAGCTTATTTCTTTTTCCTTTCTGGTAGATGCCACACTCACATTCCATAGTAATCGATTACTAAGCAACAGTCTTTTCTAGACTTCAATGGTATTCTTATAACTAACAGAAAGAGCTGGTTTCTCAGTTAATTTTTCTAGGCTTGAAAGAAACATGGGTGATAAATTATTTTTCAGATGACAAGTAAACTGCTGCTATGTCCATTTTTGAAATCAGTGTCCCTAGTTTTTTTTGTTTTTTTTTCCCATAGTCCTTGCGGACCGTCGAGCCGATGGCAGATCTTGCTCTGCCAGCGTTTCTAAAGCTGTTTCTTATGTCAAGGATGCAACCCACTTGAGAGCCTTCCCTCTTTGAAAGGATGAGCATGTTTGGTGGGACTGGGATTCGAACCCGCGACCCTCAGATTGCGAGTCGAGCGCCTTATCCACCAGGCCATGCCGGGCCCAGTGTCCCTAGTGCTTGACTATTTTTTCTCACCTTATTCATATTAATTTGACAGACAGTTAAATCACATTTAAGTTTTACTTTTATAATTTAGTTAATTATGTACTACTTTTGTTTTATAATTCAGATTTGAAAGTTTTGATGATTAATTAAGTTTTTCTACTTGTCACTTTGCTGGTAAACAGTTATAAAAGTAGGTGAGTGCAAACATTTTGCCAGAGGCTAAAACATCTCTGCCGATCATAACCTTATATGGCCTGCAGGCACCAGTTCACATTTTAAACATAAATAATAAAAGATAAAGAATTGGAAAGTAAAGTAAAACATAAAACAAATTATAAGTGAAATGGTAAAAATGTGAAATTATGCATATGACCCAAAGAAGATATTTTGAGATTATTCAATAAAGAAATAAAAGGTAAGTACATATTTCCTTTTCTTAATTTTAAACATATCATTGTACTATACATTCATGGTAATAGCTAGAGTTATGGATGTAGAAGAGAAAATGGTAAATAACTATAAATATTTACCTCAAAAAACGTTTGATATTCATTTAGCAGGTTCTAGGGATTATGAAAATAAAATGTGAAAACTGTATAATAAATAGTATTTTTATACTCAAAAATGAAAGTCACCTTGCAGGTGAATTATTCAGGATCCGAGTCCAAATAACTACATTAAATAGTGAATCTTTATTAGAAACAATAGAAAAAATCAAAATTACATGCCCCACAGTGGCACTGCGGTATGTCTGCGGACTTACAACACTAGAAACTGGGTTCTGATACCCGTGGTGGACAGAGCACAGATAGCCCATTGTGTAGCTTTGTGCTTAATTACAAACAAACAAAATTAAATATTTTTCGTAAGCTATGCACTTTTAGGAAAGTTCTTGCCAAATTTCAAACAATTTCTTCCACTAATTTGATTTTGGAACGAAATATAATGATAGCTATGTTAGTTCCTATAAGTTGTAGGAGCTGGTAGTCATAGGGTTAAGAATATTAAGTGTTTTCTTTTATGTATTAGACATCTAGGCTTACATTTTCATCATACATAGAAAATATTTGAAAACATGCAGTTTTGATTGTGTTATCAACATCTTTTTTTAAAACTTTTAGCAAAATGCGTGATTGTTTTTATTGTTTTTCCCTTTGGCTTATCACTTAATATTTCCTTGACAGAAGAAACGTAGTGATGTAATCCTATCAGCATTACCCACAAGAAAAGAGAAGTAGGTGATAAAAACTTTCAGCACTGAAGGAAAAAGATGATTCAGTAAAATAATCAAACTTAAAAAACTTCATAGCATCTTAGACCTATTTTTTATCTGCCAAAAGTCACTTCCCATAAGGTCTTTTGTTCAATACCATAACTTCATCTAAGTGAATACAAAAGGTGATCAATATTTTACTGCCTTGGCTACTACTTTTCATCACATTTGATATCCTTCACATTTTTCCTTTACTTCAGCACTTGTTTACTCCTCCTGTGTACAAAGACCTTTACTAGCCCACTCCATTCTGGACAGACATCTCACTGGTGTTTTAGACATACTGTTTATCCCTTTAAAATTTCTGCTAGTACTAATTGTTTAAAACTTTCTTTGAAAACCTTTATTGTTTTACTTCAGGCTTCTGTTCATTTTTGCTCATATAGTAGTCCCTCTTAGATACAATTAACCTTTCTACCATGTTAAAAACGTTGTATCTGACAGGAAGTCGTTATTCAAAGGATCAATAACCAGATAAAGAATGACTGAGTTCAAGCTGTGCCAGTCGCTATTGCCTAGGCTTGAGGATAATGGTTTATATACTGTATAGGTAATCAGGTGACATAGCAAATTGTTATAGTATTAATAATAGTTATGATGGATAACAGTTTTAGTAAAGAGAACTTTAAATTGTTTTGTTTGTATTTTATGTAAAATAATTTATTCATCAATCACATTTATTTCATAAAACACACAAGTATCACATTTTTATTTCTTAAATGTAAAATATGACAAATTTACATCAAATATATTTAATAAAAAGCATTGTCCATATTTGTTTGTTTTGGGCATTTAACAGGGTCACTTTGAATGTTCATGAGTCTAGAATATATGGTATTGCGAAGAGTTTTATTGTTCATTTTCAGCACATGAAAGTGGGGTCAGGTGTTTATGTTTTCACTTTTCTTGAGGCATTGTGAGACAGAATCTATCTCTGTACAAAAATGTAAGTGATTTATTCTTCTATACATATGATATTTATACATCAAGCCACAGAACCTACAGAACTACCTACATCATGCATCATCTGACATTTCAAGAAAGCACTCATTCTGACTGTGGATTGGCTGGTGAGAATTTTCCCAGCTTGCGTCATGGTTTCATTTCCATGGCCAGTTGCAAACTACTCATCAACTCGTGTCAACTGGTGTAATCAAGCACTAACTGCTGTTGAAATTATTAATTTTTTCTAACCACATTTAATAATCAAGGTAAAGATATTCATATTTTGAATAATATTACATAAAATATGGAAATTTCCCAGCCTTCATATTTGTTTTCATTGTGTGATGTGGCATCTAATCATTCCCCGGTTGCAGACATCAACAAACCACAGTTGGATCATCACCAATTCAAATTACAGTACATAGATATACACGTAAAATTAAATAAATGAATACACAATAATCACAACATTTGTATACTTTTTTATTGAAATGAAAAAAAGTCACTATATAGAAGCCATTATCTGACCTTCTGCCCAAGGCCTGGATGTTTTAGTTACTAGCATTACCTTTGCAGAGAAGTGTTGCATTGAGCCTCAGTGATATTGATAGGTGTTAACCCATTGGACCTCTGGACAGATATTTTGATCCATCACAGTCAAGCTGAAAGCAAATCCACAGTTTTTCAGTTTGAGGTATAAGAATTTTATCAATAAGTCCATATGGAGTACTGTATCATATTTAAACTCTGGATTGTTAACATTAAGGAGGGATTAAGTTCTGATAAAGTACTTTCCCTCTGTTCACAAGATTAGCTTTTCTCGTTTTGTACTTCCCTCTATATGCAAACTTTTTTTTCAGAAATGCATACCACAAGCGTTTATCCTCCCTCTGTTTGAATCCAAGGTTCCAACATGTCTCTTATGCAATCATGCATCACTTCTCTACCAATAGGAGAGCACCGTTACGTGACACATGTGACTCCCTCTACATGCCATTACCAAACTATCACTTTGTTTGGCAGTTGTCAGGTTCAGATATTCCTTTTTACTTTGTTCATTTACCTTGAATTATTTTATTGTTTATATCTTTCTTCACTTTATTTCCAACATTTCACAGTTATGGAGTTAATATTTTCATAAAGCGTTACTTCTTTGTGTTTCCCGCTTATGAATTCCACAGTTATAGTCACCACTTTGGGTACTTCCCCGGTGTCTGATGCTGTATTTTCAGTCACAGGCACGGGCGACCCATCAGGGGATATATTGTCTCTCATTTGCTGGGAGATTGAGCATTATATTTATATGAGCCAATCTCTCTCGCCTATTTGTGTCCCATTTCCAACTGAGCCTTTTAAGCTGGGCCCTCCTGTAGACGATTTTGATCATTTGTTTTCCCACCCAGAGTTTGCTGCACCTTCCCATTAACTACCCGATGTTTTGTCTCTTGCACCTGTTTCCTTTGACCATAGACCTTCCCTCTTACATGAAACTTCCAAACCTTATTTAGTCTTTTCCCCGATATTAGGGGGTTCACACGGACCAATATACCTCTCAACTGGGGGAGGGCGTTAGTGTGCCTCATCCCCCATGGACTTTGGATCAGTCTTTCCTTGCTTATCATCAGGTGGACTTTCCTTTTTGTGACCAACAGTTTGTTGAGTCTGTTGTACCTGTCAGTTCTGGTAGGGGCTTTTCACAGGAACCCTGATGGTTTTCTCCTGAAATACTCTTCATCCTTACTTCTACATTGGCTTGTCTGACATTTTCACCTCTCGTGCTTCAAATGTGGTTTGTTTGACATTGGGATCTCTTAGGCCATGATGCGATTTTGACA